CCCGCCCCCCCACTCCCTCACACCACTCACTAGGCACCTTCCTTAGACTGTTTCACAGACTCTTTATGAAGAGGATAGCACCTCCTCGCCATCCATGGAGGTCCCTGACACTTAGAAACACAACACCTCACTCCATAATGGCAAATGTGATCATTACAAAATATGTCCTCACTCTTGAGAAATGAGTCCCAGAAGCATTCCCACTTCACTTAACATTTGACTAATTAATGGAAATTCAGGAAACTATATATTGTATTAAGTGAGGTATACCTCACTGTACATATTTATTTAACAAAATAAACACACCCAGAAAAACTTACTTTATCATTTAAGGTGGGATCATTCAATGAGTAGAGCTTATTTGTAATGTCTTTTCCTATAAGATACCTAAATATTTCATACAGGAAAGGTTCGGATTCCAGGAAGTAAGTTAATCTTTCTCTTGACCAGCATAAAAATCTGCAGTTATCGTCTGCAACAATGGTGACCTGACAATGAAACACAGAAAGAAAAAAGTACATCTATGTATATGAATTATGACTACAGTAATTTGGGGAAGAGCAGAGTAGAATAATTTAGTGGATATTATGATAGCAATGATTTATCATATTAGCTAAATTAAAATAAGATCCATACACCTAAGCTTCTATAACCATGTGTAAAATTATGTTTAAAACCAAGCGGTCTGGAGACTAAATAAAAGCAAATTCTCCGAGTTTTATTGTTGTTTTGTGAGGTCTGGTGACAGAAGAGTGACCACTGTCAATAGCACTGCTGTAGAGTGTGTAAGGCTGGTGTTCCAGTTGGACATATAATTTATGGCTAAATATTTCTTTACACCATGAAGATTTACACTAGAAGTGGAAGAATACATTTCAAGCAAAAAAACAAACAAACAAAAAACTGAGGTAAGATTCGTGAGGCCAAGTTATAGATGAAAGACCTTCTCTAGCTAAGTCTGCAAACACACAGGAGAGAATGAGAAAACGGACTCATGAATCAGTTTTAGGGCCTCGGCTGTTACTAACAAACATGGCCAGCAGGGGCCTTCTCTGGGTCTTTCTCTCATACTATTTACTGAGTGTGACCTTTCAAGACTAGCTCCGATCAGTGTAGCCCTCTGGGGACACACAGAGATCCTGCCGTTAGATCAGCACTGGGAAACCGTACCCTTTCCTTAAGTCTTATGACACAGAAAAGTGGGAAAGTACTGTAATTGCACTACAGAGAGTTCAAGTATTCCTCCAATAAATCCTTCCTCCAGGGTGAGGGAAGCTAGTGGCAGGAAGCTCTTGCTCCCAGGCAGGTCCCCTTCCATCAGTTAGTACTTCTCTGCGCTTCGGTGGCACTCACAGCCCTGCATCCTGACACACCTGTCTCTCCTGAGCACGATGACAGGAGGGACGGTGCACCTTCATGTCTGGATGTCTGTGTCCAGCACAGAGTGGTGCTCAGTGCATGTTTATCATGTGAAGCAATTAGCAAATGAACACGAATACTGTTGAAGGAAGAAACCATTTTTCTATCTCAACATGAAACCCCAGGCCTATCCAGGTAGGAAATTAATAAAGGCTTGTTTAACTGATATGAAGTAATATCTGGGCCTCACAGCAAACATTTCCAAAGGAGCTCTTTCCCCTTTGTTAGTCACAAAATTAAACCTATTTCAGAAGACAAAGGGTTATTTATGTCTACTAAGAGAGACAACGGAAAACCCAGCTTCTCTCAGTAGCTGAAATCTGATCTTTACAAATCAGAGAGTTTGGCTACTTTAAAAAGTAGGTCAATACTCCTAGGAATAAAAATTTGTAATTATTTATTATCTCAAAAGTGGGAATCTCCAAAATCAAATACATTGAATTTAAGAAATGTGTTAGCAGCTCTGTGACCTCATAAAATACTAAAATCCATTCAATCTTTCAACATATATTATTATGCATGTATTTAATTCCAGACACTGTTCAAGGCACTGAGCTCACAATGATGAACAAGAAAGACAAGATCTTACCCTGTGAAACTTGCATGCTAGTGAAGGAAGCTGATAGTAAATAAATGAAATATGACACCCTCAAGTGGCAGTATTTGACAAATATAGAAAGGGGACAGCGGTAGAGAATGACTAGGGAAAGACAGTCAAATATAATGTCATTTATTTTATATATGTACTAGAGGCCCAGTGTACTGAATTCGTGCACCAGTGGGGTCCCTTGGCCTGGCCTGTGGGGATCGGGCCGAAACTGGCACTCCAACATCCCCCGAGGGGTCCCAGATTGCAAGAGGGCACAAGCCAGGGCCGGGGAGGGACCGCGGGAGGGCTTCGGAGCATGTCTGGCCTGTCTCACCCAGTCCTGATCAGCCAGACCCCAGCAACAAGCTAACCTACTGGGCGGAGCATCTGGCCCCTGGTGGTCAGTGCTCATCATAGCTATTGGTCCAATGGCTGAATGGTCACTTAGGCTTTTATATATATACTAGAGGCCCGGTGCACAAAATTCGTGCATGGGGGGGAGTGTCCCTCAGCCCGGCTTGCACCCTCTCCAATCTGGGACATCCCTCTCGCAATCCGGGACTGCTGGCTCCTAACCGCTCACCTGCCTGTCTGCCTGATTGCCCATAACCACTCTGTCTGCCAGCCTGCTCACCCCCAACTACCCCCCCAGCCGGCCTGCTCGCCCCCAACTGTCACCCCCGCCAGCGCCTGGGTAAGGGGCTGAGGGCCATTTTCAGGCTGGCCATGCCTGCCCCCAACTGACCCCCACTGATGGCCTGCTCGCCCACAACTGCCCCCCCGCCAGCCTGATCACACCCAATGGCCCTCCCCAACAGCCTGATCACCCACAACTGCCATCCCCTCTTGACTCCTAACTGCCTCTACCTCGGTCCTGCCACCATGGCTTTGTCCAGAATGTCTGGAAGGTCTCCTGGAAGGTCTCCCAGTCTAATTAGCATATTACCCTTTTATTAGTATAGATAGAGGCCTGGTGCACAGGTGGGGGCCAGCTGGTTTGCCTGGAAGGATGTCCTGGATCAGGGTGGGGGTTCCCTTGGGGGGTGGGGCAGCCTGGGCGAGGGTCTGGGGCAGTTTCCAGGCCAGCCACGCCCTCATGGGGTGAGGGTCCCCGCTGGGGGGGCATGGCCAGCCTGGGAGAGGGGCTGAGGGCTGTTTTCAGGCTGGCCACATCTCCTTCAGGGTGGGGGTTCCCGCTGGGGTGCCTGGCCAGCCTGGGTGAGGGGCTGATGGCTGTTTGCAGGCTGGCCACGCCCCTCAGTGGGGACTCTCACCCCATGGTGGCGTGGCCAGCCTGGGTGAGGGGCTTTGGGCCGTTTGCAGGCCCCTCCCTTGGCGGCCAGCCCAGGCGACCCAAGCCTCCCGCCCGCTCCAGCTGGCTCCATGGCCGCTGCCATCTTTGTCCTGCTATTTTGCATACTCACTCCTGACTGGCTGGTGGGTGTCGCGAAGTGACAATTTACATATTTCTCTTTTATTAGTGTAGATAGACTGTACTTTTAAACATTTAATGTGCATTTATATCTATCATATAAATGGATCCTCAAAACTGCCTTTAAGATAAAACAGGTTACATTCTCCCCTATTTTTCAGATGCCAAGTGAGAAGCAGCAAAAAACGTATTCATGAACACATGTTAACTAGTGGTGGAGTGAACACTTCTGACTTTCAGCCCAGGCATATTTTCCCACCAGGCCAACCCTACCCAGCATGTCCAATATTCTTCCCTCCCCCCCCCCGCCCACCCAATATTCTTCAAGATGGCCAAATAGGAAGTAATCAAGTGGCCATAAGGTTGGCTCACAGTCCACTGAAAGTCCCTCAAAGACCAGCTAAGCACATGTCATAAAGTTGATATTCTAGTGGAGGAAGCCAATAAGTAAAGATGTATGACAAAAAAATAAAATATTTATAGGATGAGAAGTATAAGGTCAAGCCAGTCCTTGGGAGTTCCCAGAAACAGCAGGGGATTGGTAAGTGAACGCAAGGTGACTGTATAATACACTATACCAATTATTAGAGAAAGGTGAGCACCAGGTACAGTGGCACAGCCAGGCACCTAAGTGCTGAAGAAAGGGTTTGGTGAGTTGCGATGCCTTCCTTTTACAAAGATGTCATCCATGACTTTGGAAAATATAATGCATGTACAGTGGGACAAGGAGTTAAAAAAGGAGTTGGAAATCATCCAGGAGCAGAAATTGTATCTAGGTGATAGATAAGGCATTTAACTTCTTTCCAACTATTTTAATAACCTCATTTCCATGGAGGCAATGGTACTTATATGATACTATAATTTGCTTGGCCAATCTATTTCTTATTGATGGTTAAAAAATGCTTTAAACATGTTTAAATTATTATTAAATTTAAACTTAACAATAGTATTCGAATAATAAGCTACCACTGCAGTAAGTATGAGTGACTTACAAGTCCATAAGAGCAGGTATTAAGTCAGAAGTGGCTGGTTAATGATTTCCTGTCACAACAGTCAAGTGAAACATACTTTAATGAGGGATTTTTATAAATCAATATTGAAATATTTAAGGCTTTTGTAAAAGAAGTCACTTCTTGAGGCATTAAGGTATCCTCAGCAGAGCCATACTTGAGTTCTTGTGAAGAATTCTACTGAAGAAATAAAAGCAAACATGGCAAAGGAAGACACGGAGTCATTTCTTTCAGGTAGAGTTCAACTAAAGCATTTACAGCCAGGTTTGGTGTGATTACCTCAAGGTCCTGGATCAGCCCCCTCAACCTTAGATTCCAAGCCACTCTACATCTCATACAATGAGAAGATGATATGCAAGAACCAAAGTGTCTGAGGGAGTTGCCGAATGGGCTAGAACCGGAAACAGCAGTTTCACAGGAACTTTGGAGCAGCCACAAGTTCGGAATCTGTTTCTCAGCTCTACCACTGTGTCTATCATCACAGTTACCCCCTGTCCCTGAACAACATTTGCTGGGCAATCTCAAGGGACAGTCAAGTCCACCTGCCTTTCTTTCTTCCTTTCACCCGATTGTATAATTCATTAGCACCACTGCCAAAGAACAAACCGAAACAAACATGTAAAGGAAGTAGCTCCTTGTTCCAATACTTGTAACTAGCTGTTCAGAGTTAGAGAAAAGTCAGATTAGCAGGTAAAGAGTACGGAGTGGAACAGTTACCACTGACAATTTCAAGTGTCCTCTGCCATGGGCACAATTAGTAAGACGCTGGCCATGGGAACATGAGACATTTTTCATTTGGGAGCTTACTTCATTAAGAGGTGATGTACTCCTACACAGATGTGCAACAGCTATTTTTACTCTTGAGGAACTGCCAATGGGAACATTTTGTGCACAATCTCTCTGGAGGGCTCACTCTGATGGAGTCTGAACCAACTGTACAGGATACAGGTTGGATGATGCTGGAGTAACTGTTATCCATTAATCACTTAGGAAATGCTACCTCAGACTCTATGCAGAGAATAGCCGACTGGTGTTTGGAAAGGCTGAATGCATACCCTTCACCCAGCTATGGTACCTCTATTTGGGTCATGTTCTGGGATCTTCACAGCAATTATCAGGAACATTTGTCAACTACCCAATTCCAGACCCCAAGAAGAAAGAGAACTGTAACTACTAGTAGGAATTCTTTTTTTTTCGGTCAATTATAAATACAATAATTCGAAGTTCAGTAGAAATGGTAATGCATGTTATATCCCAGGCCTCGCAGGGGGCCATTTGCTTCTAGAAACGACGGAGGTTCAGTTTCCAGCCTCTCTCCAAATCCCACTCTCTTCAGGATCCTGTGAGACTGAGCTATTGTGTAAAAGCACTTGCTACTATACACTAAAAGAGAAAAGGATGCACCAGATAAAAGTCGGGCTTTGGAAAAAATTGTAAGGAGGTCAGAGGAAAGAAGGAGAGGGAAGAAGTGGCCCTGTTCTAGTTGTAAAGGTGGTGACTGACGATAACAATAGGAACATAAGCCTCAGTGCACAGCTGACTCTCGCAAACACAAGATGAGAGCGTGAATTGGAGGAGCCCAGGTATATAGCACTTGCTTTCTTCTGTAGCTTAAGCTCAACTGCTTGGGAACAGCATTGCAACCAGTTAGCGAACCTGTCCAAGACCTTCTAGTAAGTGTACATCACTTTAACAAGTTGTCCTGTTACTCAAGCCAGTTACTCGGGCAGGGTGGGAGCAGGGCATGGCTGAAACCATGCAAAAAACCTAAACTGTACGTCTATAATATCCTTTTGACTTTAATGAGCCATGAACTAGTTTCAGTCTTCTTGAAAATCATGCCGGATTTAAAAAAATCCTCATCACAAGAGAAGAAATGTAATTATGTGTGGTGATGAATGTTAACTAGACTTGTTGGGGTGTTGTTTTGCAATATATACAAAGATCGAACCATTATGTTGTACTAATATAATGTTATATGTCAACTATACCTCAATTTAAAATAAATTGATAAAGTAAATAAATATCCTCAAAAAACCCCACGCCAAAACATACCTGGAATTTTTCACCTTTGTGCATCTGAGTTGATCTAAATTCAGGAGAATCTATAAAGGCACAGGGGTAAATGTTATGCAGAAAATGTCCTCGATAGGAGACCTTCATTCTGATAACAGAAATTAATGTTAATAAATGCATAATATCTCATAAAATAACATGACAATCCTTAAAATCTCCATAATCTTATGGGTTTTGATTTTATACTAAGGTTATAAAGACTCCACAGATGACTGACATAATTAAAAGTACTTCCCAAAGACAAGTATTTATTTCAAAATAAATTTCACCAACAATAAGAAAAAGAAGACAGGTTCTAGCATTGACCCACACATGTGCCTTCCAATGGCTACCATCGCTCTTATACCTACAGTGACCATACTCAAACTCAGGAACTTTTGAGAGAGAACGGGTGGTATTAACTATTATTTCAGAACAATATACACTAGGCTCTTCCTAGAAGGCTGAGATTCCTAGAAGTTATATTTGTGATAAAAAATAATAACCTCTGAAACATGCACAAGCTTCTTGAACTTTAATGCCTAATTTAAACCTACTTCAATTTTCATTCATTAACTTTAAATAAAAGCTAAAAAAAGATGAACAATGTTCACAACGGAAAGTCCTGACACCAGCAAGGTTGAGAGCAGCAAATTCCAGGTAACTAACATGTCGCTCGGTAGTGTTCCAAAATGCAAGTTCCCCACCAACAAAGTCTGCCACCGCTTCCTCCATTATTTGACAATATCCCCTTCCATTCACTCACTACCGAGGGGCCATGAGAAGATCACTTACCTTCCCTTCAGGAGAATACTCAGACGGTCGTCGACTGAGGTTTTATCCTCTGCAGCATAAGTCTGGCCCTTTGTCAAGGTTTGGATCATACAAAACTGTCCAGTTAATCTTCTGAACAAATCTGGAGGCACTAGGAGTGGTTCAAACAATCGCCGGTAGACGCCGTTGAGTTCCTTTTCAATCTTGACCTGAAATGCAGCCAGGGCAGATGCTGTACTAATGCAGCAATATCAAAACAGTGGCTTATGTGGTCCAAATACCTTTCTGAGAATAAATTTGTAATGCAGACCCTCACCGTTCCGTATTTCAGTCAGTGGAATCTCACACAGTAAGTGATGATATCGGTTTAGATGCTAAAAGGGCATTTTTGCAGAGAGCATATGGAGATGATTTGCACTATTGATCACACCTCTCCCTAGCTGCTATCAAGCAACCGTGGAGGTTGTGAATGTTATTACAGCATCCACCTTCCCAATCTTAGCATTTTCTATAAACAACACAAAACCTTTTCATTTTTAGAACAATATTATTTCACAGAAATTACACTAACTTTGAAATATGTAGCAGAAAATAAACAATAGGAATCAATGTCAAAACACATTTATGAAAATACATACAGTAGGTGTTTTACCTACATGTAATTATCATTTAATGCATCGATACAGGAAGTTAATCACCCACAGATGCAAACATCGCTTCTCATTTATTCATTCTGAAGCTGTAAAAAGGTTTCAGAGTACCAGTTTTAAGCTAAGCTAAAATAAAATCTGTAGAATAGAGAACCCACTGGTGAGTAAGACTAGCTACTGGAGAAAGAGAAAAGCAAAATGAATCAACTGCCTCTGTTGTGAGACAACCAAGGCCCAGGTCACACCCATCTTTGGGCCCAGCATTAGTCTGGGAAAACTAGACTGCATGTCAATGAACTTTGGGGTTCAAATGATCATCCATCCCAATAAAACCTATGGCAGTCACACTATGAAGCTTATACATCCTGATGAGTACTTGTCCTGCTGTTTAATTGCAATGAAGAACCAGCATTTATATTTTTCAAAAAAGGAGGCTTATCGTCCAAGAAAAAACAAAAGCACAGATACTAAGTGATTTACTCATTGGGAGCTGCCATCACATCAGCAACTTCTGAACCTTATGTTCAAAACTTGGGTTCCAGCAAATTCTTAAATTCAGAAACTGTAATCCTCATTATTACTGCCATGTCCCTCCTTCACTCTGAGTGCTCATAATGTGTTTAAAATAACTTATTCACATATATGTCCCACTTCCAGTATGTACACTAGCCAGAGTAGCACAGTAATGAACATATGAACTGAAAAGTCTACTGACTCATATTCGTAATCTGCATGTCTTAGCCCAAGCCCCAATTCCTTCATGAAGCCCTCTTAATTGTTCTCTTTGGAAGCATCCAGTCATCAAATGTTTTTTGAGCATCTACTATGTGCCAATCATGGTTGATAGGAACAGGGAATACAACAATAAGTGTAGTAGATAATATTATTATTCCCAACTATTTACTGCTCTTACCCCTTATAAGAGGATTATACATCCCCTAACCCCATCCTACCCCCACATTATCAGGCATAACCATGTCACTTGCTTTGGCCAATAAAATGTGAACAGAATTGACATATACCCCTTTGGAGCAGAAATTTTAAGAGACAGTGGGTCTCTTGTACTTCTCTCTCTGCTATGAGAATGCATGTGCAAGCAGAACCTGCTGCTTCAGCAGAGACTCTGAAATGAAGAAGACACACAGAACAGAGTCACGGTTCACACACAGCTGCCCGAGTCCACATATAAGGTGGGTGAGAAAAAAACCTGTTGCTGGTGTATATCACTGGGATTTTCAGGTTATTATACAGCATAACCTAGAGAAAAGTAATGTACTAGGGAAAACTGACTGGGCTATAATCTCATGGAATGTCTATTATATATATCATCTGTAAATTCCCAGGAATTGTCTTGTTTTCTAACAGTTTTCTACACACGTCTGGCCTTGAACATAAGATTAGGGCAAGGGCAAGCACAGTCTTTTTTACTTTACTGAGTATTTGCGTGTGCTTTGCACAGTCAGTAAACAAGTATGGAGTGAATTCTAGGAGCCTTGCTGTTTTCCTGTTCTATGTACACCTTTTTTGTTCTTGATATAACCAAGGAAACACAGCAAGATAAATCAGAATTGAAAAGAAGTTAAATCCTAGTGTTTTGATGACAACTCACCAAAAGTGGTGATATCCTTAAATGAATATTTTGAGCATAAGAAAAAATATAGTCATTATACTTAAAAACTAGCATGAAAAAAATAGCATGAGGTATTTGTGAATCGCTAATATGTTTATTGAAGTTGCCTATAAATAATTTTATAAATAGGCAAAGATATTCCCAAGTAACATCTGGATATCAATACACAGAAGAAATAATGAAGTTATATGATGAAAAAAGAGAGAATGCTATCATGTTGTCTCATGTCTAAACTGCCCTAATGATTTAAAAAACTTAAAAAACCCATCTGTAGAACACATTTCACGGTATTCAAATGTTTCACTTTCAGGCATTTATATAAAGAGTAAGTCTCATCCGGAATGATACTGAAGGGACTAACGATGTTAGATGCTTGTTCTCAAGTCTGAACAAAGTGCTCTAAAAGCTTTTAAGCTTTAAAATCTCTTCCTTGCTAATTAATTTTTAGTAATTACCGGTCTTTTCTTGAACAAAAGATATGAAAGATGCAACATATTGACACCGAGGAACACTGAGTTCCAGATCACGATATCCAAGGCACATCGGTAGAGTGTGGCCCACATGATGTAAAAGGAGCATCCTGTTGAATAACAAAATTAAATATGTTACATGTTTAGAACAGCGTCAGCATGAAGCTTAATAAATTATAAAATAAACCAAACACATCCTAGAAATACCTAAGCCAAACATCACATTTTCATTTTTTTGGTCTGATTATCAAAAAAGAAAAACATGCTTTGTTGCAGAAAATTTGTAAAGTTAGAAAATATTTTTTAAAATCTGTAATTCTACTAGAGAAAACCACTAGTGATATTTAATACTTTACAGTGTTTATGCATTGTTACCTGATGGCAGAACTACCATATATAATTTTAAAACATCTCTGTCACTTATTGCAGCAATTTTTCCATTATATTAGAAGTCTTTGAGTACATGGGTGGGTGTTTTTTTGGCAGGTGAACCTAAAATTATTTTTATTTTTAAGATACATAATTAAAATATTCAAAATAAGTCTATTATAATTCTAAGTGTTATCAAGACTCATCTACGACCAAACAACTGAATGACCAGTTGACCGGTCACTATGATGTGCACTGACCACCAGGGGGCAGACGCTCAATGCAGGAGCTGCCCCCTGGTGGTCAGTGCGCTCCTACAGCCAACCTCCTGTGGTCCTTCTCCCCCTCCACCCCCCTGCCAGCTGGCCCCAATCAGGACTGGGTGAGATGGCCCCAATTGCCAGCCAGGCCAAGGGACCCCACCTGTGCACAAATTCATGCACCAGGCCTCTAGTCTATAATAATAAAAGCATAATATGCTAATTAGACTGGACAGCCAAACGACTTTCCAGATGTCATTCCGGACGTCCTTCTGGACAAAGCCGTAGCGGCAGGGGCTAAGACAGAGGCGGTTAGGGGCTATCAGGCAGGCAGGTGAGCAGTTAGGGGCAATCAGGCAGGCAGAGTGGTAAGGGGTGATCAGACAGGCAGGCCCGGATCGGGCTTAAACTGGCAGTTGGACATCCCCTGAGGGCTCCCGGATTGTGAGAGGGTGCAGGCTGGGCTGAGGGACGCCCCCCCCACACACACACCCGTGCACGAATTTTGTGTACCAGGCCTCTAGTTTATTCATATTAGTGTAAGCAGCAGTTTGGATTACAGAAAGCTACTGATTGTTTTACAAGTTTATTATCACTAACCTATGGACAATAAATAAAATACAAAGCAGTGTCCTCTGAATTTTTCCAAGAGGAAAATAATTGCTAGTATTTGGTTAGTCCTTTGGAGTTAGAATTATCTTTATAGATACATTTATTTTACTTAATTATCATAGCAACCTTTTGAGATAAGGTGTATTACAATTTTATTTAATTTTAGAGATGAGATAGCATATGCAGTTTTTAATGACTGTAACTGATTAGATCATCATTTATTCAATCACCTCCTTATTGGTGGACAGATGAGATTTGTTTGAGGTATAATTTTTTATAAGTAGCCAAAACATCTTTATATGTAAAAACTGATCTGTTTTTGTGACTGTTTGCTTAGGGGTAGATTACCTGACAGTAAGTCAAGGGAATGAACTTCATAGCTTTTGGTGACATTGAAGAATTGTTTTCCTAAAGGTTTCTAAAACTTATAATCCTACTAGTTGGGAATGTTAAGTATCAAACTGTCAATATTATAAAATTTGAAAACTCTTAATTTGATAGTGAGAAATTTTGTATAATTTGTACAATTATATTTTGCATTTCCATAATTTCTGGTGAGTTTGAATATTTTACCCATCTGAATATCTTTTAACCATTTGGTGGTTATCCATTCACCTATGACAATCTTCCTAGTTTTCCTTATTGAGTCTCTTACTTTAAATCAAATATCAATAGCTTCTTTTGATTAATTTTATGGTGAGAGCATCAACATATCTTTTTAATTTAAAATAAAATAACCAATACTATACAAATATATCAATGACACACACATAAAAACTAACCTCCCATGTTAAAAAGTTATTCATTTGCAATTTCTTTTCATCAGAATAATTTGGGGCATCTAAATAACAGCATGAAATGTAAAACTTTAAATGTTCTTTAAATATTTCATAGCTAAATTTGAAAAAATGTAAACTATTACTTAAATGAGACAGGATAACCTAATGGGGGGCCTGGCTGGAAAGCTGGAGGACCTGAATTATAGTCCTGGTTAGGCCACTATCTCCCAGCCTTCGTTTTGATGAGTCATTGAACTTCTCCAGGCCTCAGTTTCTTCATTTATAAGGTGTTAAATTATCTCCTTAGTCCACCTCCAAAACTCTGTCTTCAAATTCATTTTTTGCTTTTGATTTTTATAAGGTGTGTTATTTGTTTTTTCCATTCAACACTCTGCTTTCCTGCTGCAATCCCTATCTTACTCAGAGGTAACACAGACAAGGAAGTCCCATAAGCTACCTTCTAGCTACCCTTCCATTCTAGCTCATTGGCCATTCCATGCCATATTTCATATATTTGAGGTACAATGAGCTAGGGTTCATTCTCCTTAAATATGCCTTCTCCCCTGTGCCTTTTACTTGGATACCACACACACTCACACTCAAAGGAATCCTGCTCATCCAAAAGCCAGCTCCTACGTCATTTCCTCAGTGAGACCTTGCTCCACCATCATGCTAAGCCTATCACTCTCTCCATTTCTCCCTGGCACTGGGCACCCCTGTATCACATATGGCCACCCATCTGTTCTCTGGCCCCCAAAGAGTGTCTTTCTCAAGAAGGGAGACTGCCTTCTTCAATCTTTGTCTGACAAATTACAGGTGCTCAAAAATGCACCTGAATAAATGAATCATTAGGGAAATAATCACAGAGAGTAATTTGTCAAAAATCACTGGCTAAACCAGTGATTCCCAAAGTGGGCGCTACCGCCCCCCGGTGGGCGCTGCAGCGATCCAGGGGGGCGGTGATGGCCACAGGTGCATTTGGGGGCGATGAGTAACTGCTATTAAAATTTAAAAAAAAATTAAATTTAAAAATTTAAAAATTAAATTAAAAAAAAATATTACTCAGGGGCTGAGTAATATTTTTTCTGGAAAGGGGGCGGTAGGCCAAATAAGTTGGGGAACCACTGGGCTAAACCCTAGCCTGTTTGGCTCAGTGGATAAAGCATTGACCTGGACTGAAGGGTCCCAGGTTCGATTCTGGTCAAGGGCACATGCCTGGGTTGTGGGCTCGATCCCCAGTGTGGGGCCTGCAGAAGGCAGCCAATCAATGATTCTCTCTCATCATTGATATTTCTATCTCTTTCTCCCTCTCCCTTCCTCTGAAATCAATAAAAATATGTAAAAAAAATGAATCACTGGCTAAAATAATAAATTCAATTGTTTTAGTATTTTGATGTGAATCAATTTAATCTGCTTCATCAGGATTACTGTAGCCTGTCATAAAAGTTTTATTTAAACTATTGTGTCTGGGAATTGCTCTTGTTCCTAATGTTGCTTCCTGCCCATAGCAAGTATATGCTATTCAAATAATAATATTGAAGACTATCTAGTACTTACTGTGCCAAGCACTACTGTAAGTTAAATGTGTACACACACAGACAGACACACACATACTCACAACAACCCTAGGAGGAGATATTATTTTTACCCTACTGGACTCATGTGGAAACTGAAGTATAGAGAGGTTAAATCACTTGCTCCAGTTACACAGTTAGCAAGTGCTGGAACCAGGATTCAAATCATAAAATCTGGCTCCAAAATTCACACTCTTACACAGGAATGGATTTTCTGATATCTGGGAAATCTAAAGAACACATGAAAACATACAAAGGATTACCTAAAATAAGGGTATGGCTTATAAAAGGCCTATGTTCTAAGTTACTTGATACACTGCTAAGTCAATAACAAAGTCATATTTTTGGTATGCTATCGACCTGACAGGGAATTCTCTAAAGCTCCCAGTGCAAAACCCATCAGGTGCCAGTTATAGAAGCTACATAAAATCTCAGTCAGGTTTCTTACCTATAGCTAACATCCCCCTAAGAAGTATCATATGGAGGTGAAGAGTAGTTGGAATAACCAACCCAATTGCAAAAAAAACATTTGCTACATGAAAAACTAGATGATGTATTTCTCTCCAGTTTTCACAGGTGGTCTCATTGGAAGGCACAGGTATAATACTTTCTAACTTAGATGTAAAACCTATCGCAGGCGATTCTGCCAATGGGCTGGACTCAGTATAATTCATCTTGAAAATTCCTGTAAAAACAAACAAAAGGACAATCATAAAAATGGTGGCTGTATGTATCACCCCCATAGGTGTTATACCAAAATTATTTCTGTGGACCAAATGTTGGTAAATAGACTTCTCTGGTGATTGTGAATTGGACAGATCCAGGTCCCAATCCAAGCTCTGTTACATACTGAATCCTTATCTGTTAAATGATGATAATAATTCCTCATTTGACTTTATGATTAACATTTGACTTTACCATAAGTGAAATAAAATACATAAAATATTTAGCATGGTGCACAACTATTCTCTGATATCCTATCTAATAAAGAAGGAATATGCAAATTGACCATCATGTCATCACAAAGATGATGGCACCCATAGCCACAAGATGGCAGTGCCCAGTCCCCTCAGCCCCACGGGGGGGGGGGGGGGGGGGGCGGTGGGGGGTGACCTGGCCGGCATGCAGAGGCAGTGAGGGTCGATGAGGCTGGCAGAGGGGAGCAGTCAGTGGCAACCACGCAGGCAGGCAGGTGAACGATTAGGAGCCAGTGGTCCAGGATTGTGAGAGGGATTCCTGACTGCCAGTTTAGGCCCGATCCCTGGAATTGGGCCTAAACTGGCAGTCAGACATCCCCCAAGGGGTCCCAGATTCAAGAGGGTGCAGGCTGGGCTGAGGGGACCCCCCCCCCTGCACAAATTTCATGCACCAGGCCTCTAGTGGCTGAATAATATTCCATAGGTTGCAACTCAAGACTAAAGGTCAGCAATGGGCAATTTCTACTGGACAGATTAGGAATGTTTCCAAAGGCCAGGGCAGTGGGAGGTTCCTAGCAGCTGGGGGATAAAATTCAAGGGCTGAGGTCACTTGGATTTTGACCCTTCAAAATCCCACCAACAGAGCAAGTCAGCCCCTTCATTACCTCACCCCAGGCACATACACCTTGGCCATTAAGAAGGTCCAACCCTTGTAAAGGCTCCTATCATTAACCTGTAACAAATCAATGTGGAAATAAAGGTATGGTGACATGGAAAAAGCACTGGACTTAGAGACACAAGCTCTTAGTTTACGTCTATCTTTATTATTACCTTAGTAGTGGGACCTTGATAATTTCTGGGCTTCACTGCTTTCATCTGAAAACTAGAGGCCTGGTGCACGAAATTCATGCACGGAGGGGGGGATGATCTCACCCCCAACTGCTCTCCCCTGCTGGCCTGATCACCCCTAATTGCCTTTGCATGCCTGATCACTCCTAACTGCCCTCTCCGGCCAGCCTGATCTCACCCCCAGCTGCCCTCCCCTGCCAGCCTAATCACCCCTAACTGCCTCTGCCTCAGCCCCCACCACTATGGCTTTGTCTGGAAGGAAGTT